CTTCCAGTAAGGCCAAGCTTCGGTTGATTCAAGGACGTGGATTGGAAACCAGCAACAGTTCCTTAATTAACTGTGAACATCATGAAGGTGCTAATGATATTGTTCCCATAGCAGAAACAGGAAGACCCCTTATTCCAACGGAACAACGTCGCTGGGTCGAGGAACTACGGACTGAACCGGTCATAGTCAACCATCATGGATGCGAGGGGGATCTGGCTGCGACCTCTGTCACCCCATTGATTGCCAGGGTCGATTCGGCTGCTCTGGCTGGCTAGGCGGGTGTCCCCGACCTCCCTCACCGCTCCATGTGCGTCCCTCTCGAAGCTGCGCGCTCGGTGGAAGAGGGCGGCCATCCCAGATAGAAGGAGTGTACCGTTCTTCAGTCAAGGGTATATGATAGCTGCATAGTCAACATTCAGACTATGATTAAAGGGATTAAAGACACAGGGACAGATTTGAGCTCCATAAGGAGGGATCTGCTGAGTAACAACGTGAAATTTGAAGGTTTAATGAGGGTAGACCCTTATGAGAGCACATCTGGGCTTATACCCCTGGTTAAACTAAATGTAAAATTTGGACATTGGGAAGGGGAACAGCTGATCTTGGTGCATGAAGACTCTACTCATGACTTCGTGACAGGTACAGACCTGTTATACAAAGCTTCACGCATGAGTGGAGTGCAGACTAGACCCCAGGAAAGACAGACCCTGGATATAGATAATGAGGGCGGGGTGGTCGCTGAAGAGGTTGCACTGGAGAAGGGACAGCACAAGTCAACACTCCTAAGAAAGACAGGAGAAACCGTTCCCAGAAAGTGTCAAAGTAAAACAAACCACGAGTCCAGTAATAACCCCATGATTAATTGTCAGCATAGAATGTTGTCAGATGCCCAAACTTCTAAGGAAGGTCCTAGGATATTTGGAACAACAGGAAGTGTTGCAGGTGTTAAGATGCATGGAGTGTATGTTAGACCAGAAAACACGGCAACCAAAAAGTCTAGGGAAGGTCCAGGAAAGTGGAGACAGGCACAGGGTCCAACATAACATCAAGGCAAGACCCAGACACTTCGAGGTGGGAGACAAAGTCCTTGTAAGACCAGACCATGTGGACAAACGCGATGTAGAATGGCAGGGCCCGTTTCAGATAAAGCAAGTACTACTTTATCCACCTCTGCCTTCAACTCGATCGCCGCCTCCTCACCCGTCTCTCACTGGAGTGAGGTGGGGGCCCCCAACCCCCCTTTTATCCCCTCCCGCGGCCTGTTGGGAATGGGACATTCTTGGCATGAACCGGACTTCTGTAAACTTTGGCAGGAACCCATATTAAATTTAGTTTGCCACCGTTTTGTATTCAAAGAGTTGGTCATGATTTCACTGAACCTACACATAAGGGGAATGGGGAGATTGCACCCCTGTGCCTTAACATTGTATCTTCATCTAGCTGTTCTAAATATCCCAACAAAAGCACACGTCTTCATCTGAAAGCCGCATAAAAGCTTTCAAGACTGTCATCGGGAAAATGGAACTTCTTTAGAATGTGTCCAGGAGAGGAAGCAACATAGAAATTAATGTCACATATCATAGAAAAAACTGGTTCCTCACCTCTCCACCTTTATTTTTAAGAGATCATTTTCCTCCATAAACATCAAAACTTGGGTTTTCAGGAATTCCATCTTTTTGTAGTACTCCATTCTCTGTAATATGAGGAACAGAACACTCTTAGCCCGACCGAGTGGCCCTTGGCCTGTATGTCATCACTTGCTCGACAAGCAACACTTTCCTTCAGCCGCAGGAGAGTCCCTCCCAAGGTGTTCCTCCCCGTTTCCCACTAAGTGTTACTCAATTAGAAAGAGAAACGATCCGGCACCCACTGGCTGGGCTGGCACCCGGCAAGACCCCTGGCCACAAGTAGGGAGCAGGTGGTTCGACAGGCCGCTTGTGCTCGTGACAGGCCGGTCCTTGTCGGCCAGGCCTCCGCTCTTTGGCCCCACTGCCCCATGGTCTAGCCCTCCTTGCCTCTTATCTCCCATACGACTGCCGCTTCTCAGGGCCCTCGTGTACCTGGTTGGAAATATGTGTGTTGCAAGGCCTAAATCCAGTCATTAGAGGGTTAATGTGTTTCCCTTGTGTGCTATTGTTCAGATTGACCTAAGGTAACCTGGCACAAAGCCAATAGGGAGGAAGCCCGAGAAACTGGAGTCTGTTTACTAACCATAATTGGTTAATGTATTCAGGTGATTACCTTCTAGGGTCAAGAAGAAAGAAGAATTTCCATTACCAACCGTGTGGTCTGTCGGTCTGTCCTTGTACTTGTAACAGTAAGGATGTAGTCTTCAAAGGTTTTGAACTTTACAGGTGAATAAACAAAGATCGAGGGGAGGAGAAAACCAGGCCAGCTGCTTTGGGTCCCCATCAAGGGGAAAGGCGGGGCATCAAAGAAGGAATTAGGAAGACACATAGAAACTCATGCCAATTATAACAGAGAAAACGGGTCCCCAAGACACTTCTCACCTCTTCAGGAGGTCCGGGAGATTCTGATTCTCCTGGGCGAGAGCTCTTTCCTCAAACCACAGGGACTGGAAATCCACCTGAATCTTCTCTAGATCCTTTCCCTGCCTACAATAAACACGAGGAACAGAACAGCCCACAGAGTGGTCATTTGTATCTATGTCAGCAACACCTGTACCGCCCTCCAACTGCAAGTACCCAAAGAGGTGCATTTTGGACCAGTCGCATCTTCCGGATCAGTCTCCAAGGGCAGCCCTGTATAGAGTGCGTTACAGGAATTCGGTATTTCCCTGAACACGAGGTGAGACTGTACCTCTGTGTCTTGACCCTGTGTGCTCCTTTTGCTAGTCTCAAGAGTCCAACAAAAGTACATCTCTGAATACGAACAGGATGGAAAAGCCTTCAGAACTGAACAGGGTCTCTGTTCGGATACAAGGTGAAACCACCATTTAATTAAACTGACTGTGATTGTCTGAATGCACTTCACGGCCGAAGGTTAGTTAGGGTCCGTCAAAGCAGGATTTGAGGCTGACTAATTTTAAAATCTTGCATTTGCAAGGTTGCTTTCATATAAATCATTCATTTCAAAGGCTGCTTGAAAACTATTCCGTTTTGTACTCAAAGAGTTGGTCATGATTTCACTGAACCTGCACACAAGGGGAATGGGGAGATTGCACCCCTGTGCCTTAACATTGTATCTTCATCTAGCTGTTCTAAATATCCCGACAAAAGCACACGTCTTCATCTGAAAGCAGCATAAAAGCTTACAAGACTGTCATCGGGAAAATGGAACTTCTTTAGAGTGTGTCCAGGAGAGGAAGCAGCATAGGAATTAATGTCACATATCATAGAGAAAACTGGTTCCTCACCTCTCCACCTTTTCTGAAGCTCCTCATTTTCCTCCATAAACTTCCAAATTTGATTGCGGAGGAATTCCACCTAACTGAGCTTTTTGTACGCCTCCATTCTCGTCCACCACTCCAGTCCACCTATCCACTTCCAAATCCACCTCCACCTTCAACTCGATCTCCGCCTCCTCACCCGTCTCTCACTGGAGTGAGGTGTGGCCCCCCCGACCCCCCCTTTTATCCTCTCCTGAGGCCCCTTTGTGTGCTAAGCGGGGGTGCGTGTGTCACAATGGTCCCAATTTTAGCCATCAGAGCCCGCCCCCCCCGGGCGGGGGAATAGCCCTTAGTTAACTAGGGGGCCCTAATTTGTGGCTCCTCAAACTTGTCCCTTCTTGTCCCTGGCCGGCATCATCACCACCATCATGGGGGCGGGGCCCTGTCACTGCAGCCCCCGGAGTGCTGACATCCAGTGTTCCCTCTAAGTTAGTCTGAGCGAGCTCACCGTCTTTTAGCCTCCGGCTTGTACTTTTTCGTCTGGGCTCAGGAAGAAGGTGGCTCCAGAGCAAACTGACTGATGCAGCGGAGAGAGGAAGCCAAGGCGTTGTGTTTTTTTCTCCTGAGGGAGTGGAGAATTTCTTTTTTAATTAATATTTTTATTGAGTATATGTTACAATTTCATACGGATATTCTTTCCAAATATGTTATACTCCTTTTGAAACTTAAAAACACACACACACAACCATTGAGGTGACATATCACCTGTTTATATCTTAATCCCAATCTTGTTTATACCCTCATCTTTTTCTTATTTCCTTATATTACCCGCTTATAATACCACCATGCAACTTCCTCTATATCATATTCTATTATATTCTTCTTGTGTCTTCTTCAGTACCTAGAAAAGAAAGCTGGACGGGGTTGCCTGGAGAATTTCTGAAGGAGATGTTCCTGAGGAGAAAAGCCTGTGGAGACAGAGGAAGGCAGTTGGCCGAAGAGCGGCCATTTTCTGGCACGGGCGTTGGAGCCTCAGTGTTTGTGGCACTTCTCCTGCCTGACTGTGAGGGGAAGTGGCTCCTCTCAGAGCTCGTGGTGAAGAAGAGAGACCTCACCGAAGGCGGCGACGTGACCTGTCTGCAGTTTGTCAGTCAGAGCCCAGAGGCCAAAGAGAGTCCCTTCACTTTTCATCCTGACTTTGGGACTGCTCAAGATTTATTCTCTCACTGTTCTGTTTAAAACTCCCAACTCTGAACCTGTTGTGTCACCACCATCAAATTAAAAGCTATCCAGGGCGTAAGATTTCAAGAATCAACCCTCCCTTTGCCAGATTTGATTTGACAAAGGTATTCTGAGGGGAACGGAGCTCTGACATTAAAAAAAATTAAAACACCTGAACAATTAAAATGATAAAACCAACAAAACAATAAAGCTAGGATGCGAGTCCTAGGGTTGCCAGGTCTGGAAAATACCTGGAGTGTGTCTCCAGGCCTGGCCTGGAGGTTGGCAACCCTCGCCCAGCTTTCTATTCTCCTGCCTTCAGCTGCAGCGCCTGCGCACCCTGGCCGCTGGCGCGCAGCCGCGCTCCCTCCCTCCCCGGGGAAGGAACCTGTCCGGGCAGGCGGGGCGAAGGGGGCCGGGCCGTCGCCGCCTGCGCCTGCGCGTTCCGTCCTCCAGCCTGCCCGGCTGCTCTTTCCCCGGCCGCGCGTCTAGCCAGCCAGCCAGCCTGCCTCCCTGGGGCGCCAAGATGCCGAGCGGCGGCAGCAGCAGCAGCAGCAGCCTCACCCCGCAGGTGCACTGGGCGCAGCGCCACCGCGAGCTCTACCTGCGCGTGGAGCTCAGCGACGCCCAGGTGAGGACAGGCCTCCGCGGCGGTGGCGGCGGGAGCACCTGCTGCCCTTGGCTGGAGGGCGGGGG